CAGAACCTCCGGGTAGGCAAAACAAAGTCGGAGCTGGGTTTCTATACGGTACTATTAGGGTAAGAGAAATTCACAAATTATACAAACCCCGACAGTAGATACGCGTCCACAACAAACAGTCCGCTTGGACTGCAAAAGTACAAAGCAAGGGAGCAAACAGGCTCCCACGTGCGGCAGTCACACGTGCAAAGTCAGATACAAATGGCCGGATGACCTCAGGGCCAAATGGGCAAAGTGGTAAAGACAAACAAACGTCAGTTCATACATACACACTAAACACAAAAGTGGGGCGGGGTTTACAAAAGGAGACCTAATAAACGTGGAGAATTTCATTGTCAAGGTAACAGATGATACACTGACCATATCTCTCTTCTTAACATCTGGCGCGCATTTCGGTACCAAAGTTACATTATTATGGTTTCATAAATTATCTCAGCTAAGTCTGCTTGGAAATTCGCTTTTGTCTGGTTTTTATCGTTTCCGGCATTTGAGAAATTGTTACATAAATACAGGCATTCGTGCCCGCAGCATGTATTCAAAGCAATACCGCTATTTTACGTTACGAAAAGATATACTACATATGCAGCAGTCAAGCAGACGTAGCAACAGCACATCGACGAATCCAGAGAAACCAGTAAGTTGAGTGCATTTTCTAATTACATGCAGCTATGTTCCGCCTGTTTTTGTCTTAGGAGACAGAAAAACAATCCAGTAGTCACCGCTAATTATCTGGAGCCGAATAATAATATTCCCAAGTCTTTATGCGACCGACTTCCGGTGGGTCGGCGGTTAACAGAAGATGAGTTGAGCACTCGCATGGACCTGCTGAGGTGTGCGATGCTGTCGTGTGAAGCGAAGCAGCTTTTAGCTCATGAAATTGACATGGTCAATGGAACTCAGGGCATGTACAACTACGAACCGGCAGTGTCAGTCGGCTCTGTTGAGTGAGTGACGGATGGTTCAGTTTTATTGCCACAGATGATGTGCATTCGGTCCTGGCAAAGCCACGTAAGCCTGGACGTGTGCCAGTGTTGGAGTCAGAGAAGGATCGCCAAAGGATCACCATATAGCAGCGCTAGATGCCGGTTCCAAAAGCACTTGATAGGGTCCCACACGTCCCGCTGCACCACAGACTCGAGTCTTACGGGATCCAAGGGAAAATCCTTCGCTGAATCAAGGCGTTCCTATCAGACAGATCATTCCGAGTGATAATAGGCTCGACCTACTCCTCTCCAGCGCCGGTCTCCACTGGAGTTCCTCAAGACTCCGTCCTGGGACCACTCGTGTTTCTGATCTGCGTCAACGACCTCCCAGATGTTCTTGCAAGTCTATGTCTACTTTTTGCGGACGACTTCAAATGCTGGAGTTTCAACGCCAGTGCGCTCCAAATGGATGTAGACGCTGCAAAGCAGTGGTCGTTGGACTGGCACATTCCCCTGAGTGATGATAAATGCGTCCATATGTCGTTTGGAGGGGATTCAGCGAATTCCTTTATTATGCATGGTAAAAAGGGACCAGAAGACATCATGAGGATAGATGCCAAAAAGATTTGGGCATCTGGGTCTCCTCAGATTTGTCCTTCTCACAGCATCATGAGAAATCGGCCAAAAGGCATTCGCCATTTTACGGATGATCCGGCGCACCTTCTCCCGTATTACTCGCATGGACTTCCAAATACTCTTTGGGGCCTACGTCAGACCGCCCCTGAAGTACGCCAACCAAGTTGTCTACTCAGGATGCACGAAAGACGTCACATTCATTGAGCGTGTCCAGCGGGCCGCTACGAGAATGGTTGCCGGCCTCAAATCCGCGGCCTACGAAACGCGTCCCGCGAGGCTTGATCTCTTTCCCCTGGGGTACCTTCGCCTCCGAGGGAACTAATTCTTACTTATGCCCTGTTTGAACAAAGCTTGGCAAACAGGTTTTTCACCGTTGACCCAGCAAGCACACGGCGGGGACATAGTAAGAAAATTTTCAAGCTCAGAGCATACACATTCATCAGACAAAATTTTTTAAATTCTGGTCAGAAGGTGCGTGGAATGACCTTCCTCCGACGATTGTCCAGGCTCCTTCTAGAACCCAGTTTAAAGCACTATTAGACATTTATCTATGCGAATCCTCGCGCTAGCAAGCATACTGCCCCGCGCTGAGAACACAAAGAGCAGTGCTACATCCTTTTTTCACTTGTGCCTTTCAGGTGAACGACAGTCACTGACCGACAAGAAGAAAACCGACCCGGGAAACTTGGGCAAAAGCCTCGATCCCGTGTATCAATCCTTGAATCCGTGGAAACGCTTTTCCAAGGCCCCCCGCACGTCGCAAACTGTGATGTAACGCGCCTGGTAAGCCTAGTTGTGTGAATCTTGTTAAAACACCTATATCTGGCCTCTAGATACAAGCCCTACACCTTGCTACTCACCTACGGCATGAGTACCGGATGTCCGGTTATGTATATCTTTGTGGAAAGCAAAAGGTTTGCTCCCATGTAAAACTACTAGACTTGTCCATGGAAATGACGGGTGAACAGTATTCCGTGAAAACTTTTGTGATGGAAAAACTGGCGGAACACAGGCACTCAGCGAAAGAGGCGCCTGACTGCAATGTCAGACTGCGCCAACTCCATATTCGAAATTCGATCAGGGAGCACAAATGCCTCATATAGCGTCCGTGTATCTTGGTCACAGGCACACTGCGAACAGCAGGCACATAGTCCATTGTATAGCTGTGCAGAACAACCCCATCCAGTGGGTTTTTTAGTGATCATAATACTAGCGCACAGATTCCGACAAGATTTACACCTGCTGTGCAGCAAAAACCCACGAATTATGCCCTAAATTTTGGATCACTGTTTGTACATCACCTAAAATGGGCTGCACACGCACAATCTGGTACTGTTTTTTGGAATTGTGCTCAACAGTAATCTAGAGAACGTATGAGGTCACCTGAAAAACCAATTAAACACGCTGACCCATGCCATACAGAAGATGTCCTGGCACGCCGATCGGCTCGTGCGGGAATGAGATATAACTGTCATACGGCTGCGATCAACGTGAAATACTGGAGGGTGACGGATAAATTCTGGATGCTGTCGAATGACTACGTATGCGTCCTCACTAGTTTTGGGTTACCTGTGACTGCGACTCCCGAAGCCGCACTCTCGCTTTGTTGAAACAAAAAATGAGCCCAATTCACTTTCACTAACCGGTAGTTCATTCCGCAAACACTCAGATGCTCTCAGACGGTTGACGCCTGTGCTGGTAAATGTAAATAATTCATCTACCGGGTGATGAAACTCCCCTGCATCCATTTGTCTTCCCTATTTGGAGGCCAGTCGGTTTCAAGCAGTAAGAAATATCATCCATGGATGTTTTATCAGATTGCTCCCCAGTCCATCAAAGCTGGCTGCCAGATTACGACCTACCGGAACAACCCAAACACCTTGAATTTGTTTCCAAGCCACCGCCGGCCTATGTAAACCATTTAACCGAGTGGTAGGCCGGAACCCAGATTAATCGAGGCTGACATTACGTAGTTGATCATTCAGGGGAAAATCCTGCTGACGCAAGACTCAGCGTCTGTGGCTAACAAACCGCGGACGGTGGACGAGGAAGCTGCACTTCAAACCAGATGGTGGCCTAGGGGCACAGGCACAGGATCTTCTGTGCGATTTGACCGGCTGATTAGAGGCAGAGACCGCTGGTTGCAACGGGTAGCGCATCACATCACGCTGAGCTATGCAACAGTGAACCATGCCCACCATGCGGTGGTGGTCTTTATACTTGCCCCAAGGGTAAGTCTGTATACGATTAACTTATTCTTAGTGTCCAGCTCATGTCTCGTCCGGAAGACCCGGAAGCGCATCGACTCAACGCTCTGAGAACTGGACCGAAGCACAGAATCCCAGCAGAATGTGTTCTTGATGTATGTGTGCTTTTGTATTCCAGGTCCAAGGAGGAGCTCTGAGTACTAGTAGCGCTGTAGAGCGCCGGCTAAAAGGGGGGAACGGCGATATTTCGTGCAATTCATATAGGACCCGTCTTTTCCAGACTCTTCATCCGTTATTGAGACATGATGGGTTTCAAGTAAGTTTAGTATTTCGGGAGTTCTGATAGTTAGTGGGTACCAAGATACGGCAAATAGTACAGAACGAATGGGCCGTTGAAGAAGGCGTTGTGTGAACAAGCCTGAACAGGCCTTTCACCGCTGAAATGCATCATTTATACAGTAAGTCCCGCTTAAGCTTGTCAACCGTCTGCCTGATATTTCGATAAACTAACCTATATCTTCCTCTCATTTTAGGTCGTCAGTAGCTCCATGAACACTGCGCACCATGAATGCTGTATACTTGAGGTAGGACATATGCGCCAATCAAAACCATCGACGAAATTCGTACACTTAAGAAATTCGACCATTCCCGGTAGAGCTGGATGAGCGCGTGTCGGCCAGGTGATTGGGCATCGCCATAACCGCGTGCTACTAGCGTGTGTCAGCTAGGTTTTTTCGGCTGTCCATTGTGGTCGATGTAGCTTCTATGTGGCTAGTTGATTAGTCACCATCGACCTAAAGGCTTTCACGCTGATATCAAGTAATGTGCGAGAAACTCAACTTGAGTCCGGCCTCGCGTTCATGACAACTAGTGCGAGTTTCCGAATATAAAGATTGTTTCTGTAGCAATGCTTATTCGGAACAGCTATTCACGTGGTCCGAAACATGATTTTCATTCCATCCAATCGACCGGGAGATAGAAGGCCGGCTTTGGTCACAGGAGTAGAAATAAATCATATTTTGTGTCCGCCAGTTAAATTTAGGCTCCCGCGAATTTCCCTGATCATTGCGGCTGGAGAACTACCTGCCAGTCCCGCCCACATTCTCCCTCAATTTGAGATTCTCATAATGTTCGTATTCCAATTCGATATAACAAATGCCCTTAGGAATGCGCCCACAGAAAGAAATCAGCCATATAAGACAACTCGCAGGATAACCTGTTAAACACAGGCATTCTAAACAGTGGACTGCTGACATTCAGAACACCGGCGCTTTCGAGAAACCGATGCCAATCGAGCACTCAGATGACACGTTAAAAATTTCAAACCACGCGCTCCAAAAGTTGTGGTCCCTGGACTCCGAACCGCGATGCACTGATCTAAAAGAGCAATGGAAAAATAGCATTAAATTGGGTGGAAAGGGGATCCTACTAACTATTTACCAGGGGTGCTGAAAGCGGACTCGTTTTTATGAGCTGGATGTCTCAGGTGCTAGTGAAGAAAACTCATTTTCGAGCGTTGTATGGCGTTTCTGCCAGCCACGTCCTTCGGGTGGACGGTTAATATGATGACAAATAAATGCCACCAATCGCTATATAATTCACGAAGTTAAAGGCGACAGTTTCTCGCTAATTTTGATCATCTAATCGAGAAGTGTTATTTGCACTGTGTGAAAATTGTCATCACTAATTTTCCTGTTGGTGCAGTAGTGCTGCTGACAAAATATCCACCTTTTAGCTTAAACTTTTGATCGGAAACCGATTTCGTGCAGCTGCAGTAACACTCACTCAAATGTGGACAGCAAATTCCAGGACAAATACAGTGGCCATGAATTAGAACGGTCGCGATTTCATCATATGAGCAAAGACGCCTAGCAGCGAACTTCTTCACGCCGCAAAGAGGAATTGATCTTCTTTGGAGTGCTAAAGCAAAAGATGGGTTTAGAGCTGCTACATTTGTTCCCGATAGCATACGTCACACACCGACGTTTATGAGTACAGGCTCACAGTACGGTGGAGAGGCGGACTGCCTCACGCCTGTCAAATCTCGAGACTTATATTGACGGACTGGAGAACTCTTCGGGGTGTGAAATTGGAACGGCAAAGAAGTATGGTATCTTCTGTCAAGATTAAAGCTCCTGAAAGGTAATGGTATACAGTGGATTTGCCACTGAAGTCCGGACGAAGAACTCCGCGGTCGGCTGCCTGTCTGCTCTGCTTGCCGTAGATTCAAGGTCAAGCCATACAGTGTGGCACTCGCAGCATGTGAAGACATGGTACTTGTAGGTAAGTGCCGTTGAAGTTGTCCAAAATCACCGAAAATATTTTATTTACATATACATTCGTAATAAGTGTCAGGTGGGATATCCGAGAGGTACCAAAAGCAGTGGTGGCAAAAACCGAAAGGCCGAATACTGGAGGCAGCGGAAATGACTACTCAGTGGTGCCATAAGGACAATTTAAACGGATGGCAAACCTGCGAAGAAACATCAATGTAACGGGTGAACATCCGCCAGACCGACACGCAAAATGGAAGCTGACCTGCCTCAAATGATGCCGCATGTCCAGACGCAGGTCAACCCAACGATCACAGTGGAAAAATGTCAGAAAACTTAGCGACCGATCTCCACATGAATGAAATACTGGCATCCCGAGAACACGTAGGGTGATGCCCGACGCCAAAAACCCAGGTATATTTTCCGAGGGCCGCGTCACAAAGAAGACTCTCATTAACAAGGTGCTCCATAATAGAAGATACCCAATATGGTACATCCTCCTGCATGGTGATTCTTTATAGCCGTCGGATCGATAAGACCATGATAAAGACATCGCATCCAGCTGGACCGCTAAAGAACTGAGATGTTCATGGTCGGATTCAAACTACAAGGAGTCAATCTTAGGCCGCCCGGTTTGTACTGCGCCGTGAAAGTTTTACTTAGCTTGGGATGTAAGCTAAAGTAGACCATCATATCAGTGCACACAGAGTATATAGAACAAATGTGGTTTGCGGTATCAGCTGCGTTAGCGTCGCATTGATGGATAAAATGATTTCTTAATTGTTAATTTTTGTGTGGTGTAGAAGCGCTTCCTTTCTCAGTGGCCAGTGCTCATGTGGCCAATCACCGAGCAGCAGCAGTAGTGGGCAGGTTGATGTCGACCGACTCCCTGAGAGCCCTTTTCGTACAACCACAGGTGGGAATGAGTCAGGAGATGGATGAATGAATTGGCATTGAAGTGTGACAGCCGGTATCAGCAAACTCAGCTGCACTGGTCATTACCGGTTCCTTGGATCAGGACCCCGAGACAAGACGCGCCAGAGTTTGAGGGCATTGACAGACGTTACCCAGTCGCACGCTCAGTGGTGTGTATGCATCCAGGCTGTTGTTTTCTATGCATATTTCGTTCTATTGACCTCCCCAGTGAAAGCTTCATCGACATCCTTGTAATCACACATCAGCTACGGCTTCCAGTACGTGGCTCTCCACTCCTATCTCTTCAGGTCATCGGCGAACGAAACCGTGTCGGCCATAGTGGCTATACATAACCACTGTACAGAATGAACATAGCTTTTACAACTGGTGATGACTAGCACCATTATACGTGTGCACCTCAGATGTCCGGAGGCACAGTGCTCTCTGAGAACTGTAAATACCCAAATTGTCAAAGTCGCGGCTGCGATAAATACCCCGCACAAATGCGGGGAAATATCAACGACCATACGAAGCGTTTTGTCTCTTGAGATTTCCAATCACTTGTCCAAACATGGATAAACGTTTCAGGATTTATTCTGTCCCACACTGGGTCTTCCCACGCCTCTTCGCAAACCGACCGAGCACCACTTCCACATGAGAGAAGTGTTGATTTTACTCACCAGTAACATTGGCTCCTACCAACTTCACCCATCCGATCTTCAAGACGCTAACTAGGACCACCAATCAAAGTGTTTGCCCGTACGCTTGATGGAGGCCCAACCCAATAAAAACCATAAGGCTCCTGAATATCCGATCCCAATGACGCGAGCAACCCAGCCAACTGTCGACATACGTAAAACGACTGGAAATTCATCCAGAAGCTCATACATGTCGAGGGGTATTATGGGTATTGTTCAAGTTCTTCTGTGGGTGAATGAGGAGGATTTTTATATCTCAACGATGCCAGGTGGATTGAGAATCGAGTTCGGCGAAATTTCGGTATACACATCGGACCTCCATGACTTCATTTGCCACTTCAGAGGTCTTTGTGGCGCCAAATGACTGATGGAGGGGACTTGTTCACCCCGAGTTCCAGGACGCCCTCGACATCATCATCATCATCATCATCATCAAAGCCAACACCGATGTTGCTGTCATTGATGATGATGATGATGTCCAGGGCGTCCTGGAACTCGGGGTCAGTCATTTGGCGCCACAAAGACCTCTGAAGTGGCAAATGAAGTCATGGAGGTCCGATGTGTATACCGAAATTTCGCCGAACTCGATTCTCAATCCACCTGGCATCGTTGAGATATAAAAATCCTCCTCATTCACCCACAGAAGAACTTGAACAATACCCATAGTACCCCGGTGAATAGTGTTCGAAAGCACAGGTCCTCTTTTGAATGGCCACTCGCTTGTACTCAATGAGCGTGGTGAAAATGTCCAGGAAACAGTAATTTGCAGGCCCTAAAGGTCTCTGTCCATCGATTTCTCAGTCTAGCTGTTCTTTTACCCAAGTCTGCTTCCTGCCGCTACACTGATGCACAAAGTTTGTAAGGGAACTTTATTAATTACCTTAGTTTTTATCGCAAGCTCCACAACGGGAACCAAACTCCCGTCCGAAAGTTCCATTCTCGACCTCTCATCAAGCGAAATAGACCGACAACCTTCAGAGCAAGCAAGCAAACGACACGATAGTGTCTTCAAACGGCACAGACAAGTGTCTACCGTAGGTGTGTAACTTTTTCAAAAAGATTCTCGGTAACGTGAATCCTGTAGATACCACGTACATATTATCTGTACAAAGTCCCAATCTACCCACTGTAGGTATATTAAACACCATTTCATTTCTGGGCAAACGCCGTGAGCCTGAAGTTTTACAGACAACTCTTTGAAACTCACCCAGTCTTGACAGTTTATTGGTCATATACCGCAATCTATCTACTTTAGAGGCTCAAGTACTCCAACCAGTGTCGATCTCAGCACGACCAACTGGGGTTGATGACTCAATCCGCAAAGTGCAAAACGCCACTCTAGTTAGTACGTGTATCCTATGTTCCCACAGACAATAATTCTGACCGTTATGTCTAGCAGGCCACCAAGCACTGTACATTGCAAGGGCTAGGAAGGTATTTGGCTGGAGTTTCCTTGAAAAGTTGTCAGGCGAAGAGACACGAAGAACCTCTGCCTAATGACTGGCAGCTCTCACCAACGCTGCGCCAGTTTATGTTCCAGTTGGCCCGAGAGACGCTACCATGCCAGAAGTCGGAAATCAATGGACTAGCGCGATACTGCCAGGAGAAGCCACCGAGCCAGCTCTTACAGCTTCATATAGTGTGAAACACAAACTCCTGTACAAATATAACGTCTGGGAAAAGTTCAACAATGCGTACCTCCCTTGCTAACCACTACGGCAGTGAGATTGCCAACACAGTGGTTAAACAGTATGCGGTACGTACTGTGTAACCTCATGCTGGTCCTCCTGCTAGCCTCTAAACAGAAAATGGCTTCAGTAATATGACATTTATCCCAATCGCCAGTCACCAAAAGGTTGAAGCAAAAAAGGCACAGCTGGTGGTATTTATTGGAAGCATCCGCCCGAAGGAACCCTTCGTTATCAACTCCTATTGACCGGAGTACCCGTGGTCTGAACCCGACCTCTGTCTCCCGACTTTTCTTGTCTAGGCTTGGGTACCCTGGCCAGTATCACAGCCCTAGGCGTAGTAGCTAGGTATCGAAAAGGTGTTACAGCTGAATTACTATTATTATTATTATTATTATTATTATTATTATTATTATTATTATTATTATTATTCCAATTGTCCCAATACTTTCAAAATCTTCTGGACACGATTACTGCTCCCGCGCGATGCGTGGATCAAACTCCGACGTTTAGAATGTGTCCGAGAACAAATTAAAAGAGGGTCCGAATTATGGAAAACCCTCGTCTAAGCTTGAACATGGGTGAACTGAAATGTGCGTATAAACATTCAGTACGAGTGTACGGGGTCATAATAATAATATCGTGGCATTCGCACCGTCATTGTCCAAACGGACAACTGTACTGGTGCAGATGGGGATGTACTGAGTCAGGCTTCTCTGTTTCTCAAGGTGCAAGGATGAACGCGTCGCTGTTGTTCTAGAACTTCAGCATAAATTTGTTAGTCCTTGGAGGACAGTACCAAAGAAAGCTCAGATGCTTGAGAGCTATTGGGCTGACATCCGCTTCTTTCAGCCTTATCTGACTATTCGATGTCCCTGTTGGATACAAACATACTGATGATGTCGTTAGTTGTACTGTGAATCTCTGGGACTGGATCACAGGTGGTCAACCAAGATGGTAACGAGATTCCAAAAGATGAGCGACGTGTGTATTGAAAAAGACGTTCATGTAGAGTACAGTTAGTGGCCGTACATAACAGTAATCACAGGTTGTGTAGAGCATCAGAAGTACGGATTCCCTTGAGAAGGCGGCAGTCTGCGAGTTCCCAATGCTGAGATTGTTGTTTCCCGGAGGATACCGTTGGGACGCTCAACCTGACCCTTACCTTGCGGATTATAAGCCGATATATAACCAATGGCAACACTTTTCCAGAAAGCTATTGATCTCAGGTGACATGAACGATGAGCCTTTGTCGGAATGGTTATAGGCCGGTATTCCAAATAAAAAGATTTGTGTGAGATAGTCACTGGCAGTTGCTGAGGTCATATCCACACACTCAAATGCGAATGCGGTTCTGGAGTAATTAGCAGTTGCGTGCTTTAGATGGCAAGCGTCCTTCAAAATCCAAACTCAGGCACTCAAAAGATTGTGTTGCTTTAATGAGTCTACCAGGGGATTTCCGAAATTTTGGCAAACTTTGGCAAAATTTCGGTGAACACAATGCAGGAGGAATTAATGCGCTTGATATCTTGCAACACACAAAGTGAAACATAAAGGTAATGCCTGGATGACAGAGTGAGTTGTGGAGTTGAATGTTGCTCCTTATGGAAGCACATACGTTGCGCGACATGGTTGTCCTTGCCAGGTTGGTAGATGACATTATACCTGTACTTAGAAAATTCAGTCCTCCAGCGTTTTTTACTTTACCCTTTTGTCCACCACCGTACATGAATGTAACCGAACACTGATCGATGATCGAAGGACCTTCCGAGTGGCGGTATACACTCATTTGCAAACCAGTTTTGTTTTGCAAGAGGCCCACCTGGAGCCCAGCTGAATCTCTCGTTTGTGCTATATTCTTCCGAGTAAATAGTGCTCCCATTTCCCGACGGATTCAACGATAGTGTATGCCTTCGTCTTGATGGCAAAATGATTCTTTCTCACATTGAGTGGCCTAGAGAAAAACTTTGCCGGTTGATGGTTTTGGCTCAGGAATGCGGCTATAGCAACATCGGAGGCATCCGTTTCAACAACTAGGAGCCCTTATAATCTATCGTAATTAGCATAACATTTTCTAGTTCGCCGTTAGGTTCTCGAAGGCTAATTCAACTTCGGAAGGTAGAGGAAATATTTTGTTATGTACCAGTTTGTTGATTTCATCAGAAAACGGAGATACAAAATGGGCGTAGTATGCAAACATACCGATGGCGCGTTGCATTTCCGCGGTAGTACGCGGAGGAGGTAACTGACGGATGGGTTCCATGCGTTAAGTCACGCCTTATGACACCCTTCAAAACCTTATAACCTAGGAGGCAAATAGCTTTTGAAGCGGTGATGGTTTTGTTATCGCTGAGTGTGATTCCATACTTCTCCATAGCTTTTAAAAACGACTGGAGATTGAGGTCGTGTTATTCTTGAGTATCACCGCAGATAGTCACATTGTTTATGTAGGCATACATGCTTTTTGGACTTAATGATTTTGTTAGTAATTCGCTGAAAATTTGCTACACCGTTTATGACACCTAACGATTGGCGACGAAACTGAAACAGGTCACTACAGGCTTCGAATGCTATAAAAGGTTTGTCGGATGCTGATATAGGGACCTAATGGGAAGCGGACAAGAGGTCTAATGCACTGTAGACTTTGTAATGCGAAATTTTCTCACTCACTTTGTCCAAGCGTGACAGAGACTGAGCGTCCAGATATGTGAACCGGTCGATAGTTCGGCTGTAGCCAACAACCATCTGGCCTTTGTGACTGACACTTTTGGTGACCCAAAGCTGCGCTCTCCAGTGAGACGCTGATGGCTTGATTATGTCTTTTTGCAGTACCAGATCAATTTCGACGCGAGTGAATCTTCGTCATCTGAATGGTGTGATCTGATGGCAACAGTCCACTGCCGTTAGGCCGCAGATGGTAAACGCATCACGATCCTCGCCGAATGAAAATCCTATCTTGTCGTGGAGACCTAGAGAATCATGTCTGAGTAAAACAGTGCAGAGGTTTGTCGTTACAAAGATCTTCAATTCATTGTGTGATGTACCTTTGTATCAGACAGAAACACGAGCGTAATCGGTCGTTCGACAGGATGGCGATGTAGACGCCATCGTGACGACTGAGAAAGTTGGATAAATTTTCCAATTATGTAGTTTCATGACGTTAGAACTAATGAAACTACAAGAAATTCCTGTGCGGAAGGCGATGCCATTGACTTCAACAGTTGTAGTGGCAGGTGCCCGGTAGATAAATGCTGCTGTGACAAATTACGGCGGTAATGTGGGCTTCATTGTATAATTTGTATGGAGCTTGGTGTTACTTTTTTAATGGCATACGCGGCGACACTGACTGCGTTTACCGAAAAGATTACAAACGGCTTCTCGGTCGGACACTATGATCGAGAGTGTCCATCATAACCACAGATATAACATGTTTGAACGGATTTTACAGAAGCAATGGTCGGATAGGCATGTGGTTCAGGATTCTGTGAGATGGGTGGAATCGTGGAGCAGGATATAGGTTGGTTACTAACATATGATTTCGACTGTTTGTGAACCTAGCAAGTTGATATGCTTGGTCCAGAGTGAGTTTGCTCTGTGCTAGAATTTTTTTTGTAAATGGAGTAGGACGCCAGACCGCTAATTACAGCATCATGAACACAAGCATCTTGATATTTAGTTGCGGATAATGGTTTAAACTCCGAGTCTTTAGCTAATGATTTCACTTTTGGTATGAACCGATCAATATCCTGTCTGTTCTCTTGCTTGTAGGTCTGTTAGAGGTAGCGTGGATATAATTTTTTGTAACGTGTCGATCGCAGATGCTTAGGCGGTGTAATCACCAGTGTGATCGTATACCAGCGGATCCAAAAAAATAAATGAGAGTTTCAAGTTTGTCGGGTTTAGAAGATTTGACACTTTTCAGATATGCATCGAAAGTGATTTCAGCATTTGGCTGCGTGTGCGGAGTTTGGGTTGGCTTTGAGGAACCGGGGTTTTAGCTGCGGACAAGTAATGTGATATGGTTAGAATCTGCCCGAGAACGGTTGGCGCTACTCGCCTACCAGAATGGGAACTGCCTGATTCCCGTTGCGTCTGTTTGGAGGCGCTTCAAGGTATGGCTGCTAATCGATGTCATTGGCGTTCGTGTTGTCGGATTGTCTGAATGAGTGTTTGGAGGTATAAGCACATTAGAATGATTGTAGTAAAGTATCACTAAGTCCCTTCCGTGTTCACCTTTATTCTTTCCTTTAGAGTAAGGCTTTCAAATAAATCATGGTTGTGGCAGCGAAGTGTTACTGTTGAACACCAATGTCAAGCTGTCTATGATAACCGTAATGATGCCGAGAACGAACTAGAAGACGCTCCGGATTATCGAGGGCAAACAACGTTCTACTTGTCTAAAAACGAGCGTGGATGAGCTGAAATGCACATACAAAGGTTCAATATGAGTGATGGGGTAACTATAATAATACGCAGAAAACAATCATGAACCAGGGCTATAGGTGGAATTTTCCGCCTCGACCTCTTCTTCCACATTTTTGGTAAATGGAGATCCCATCATGAGCTTCACACCTTTCTGCAGAGTGGGGCTGTACTGGTCATCCTAAGCTGTCCAATGCTGGTCAAATCTGCGCGAGATATCCCGGGACTACCCTGTAGGATACGAAATGTTACTGGCCCTCACGAAGGACATTTCGGTAAACTGTTACCGTGTCATTCAGCTATAGCTTCTTTCGGTGCCTAGCTGTCATGGCAACGGAAGGAGGCACGATAGCTTGGATACTGTCAGGTTGCCCAAGCCTAGACAGGAGCAGTCGAGATGCTGAGGTTGGGTTCGAATCACGGACCTTATGGTAAAAAAACTGGCGCTCCATCCACTGAGCCCACAACTTCTGCCGACGCTGGCTGCATGCTCGGAACCTTGGAAACAGTTGGAGTTAAAAGTGAATCATCATCTATCCATAGCGAACGAGTCCTCCTATCCGTTAATCGCCGAAAACGGCCTATAGAGAGTGTTTTCGTAGGAGCAAGACGGCCACACATAAACACCCAAAACGGGCCTGGAGTTCAGGTATGGATTTCACTTTAGCCTATCCGGTGGTAATTTACCCAAAGCGAATAAAACAAGTAGGCCAACGTCTAGTTTAAGAGGGCGTCCGCTATCTTAGTTTGAGGGAGACGGACACAGCTACAAATTCCAGCCCCTTACTGTTTTGGATAAGTTTAAGCATATCTTCCACAAGGACTGGAGCCTGACGTTTTTTTTATATATATATATATATATATATATATATATATATAATAAAAACGTCGGTTACTAAAATATTTGAAACGTGCGATATTTTATTGTGTGAAACAGTATGATGGAAATGCATCCGTTGCCGTTTGACTTCTTAAGGTTTTCTTTATTTTAACCCATTTTTTCTTTTTCTTTGAAGATGGAAGAGTTTGAGGCTGCCTATAAAGAAGCGCTGCATCAGGCGAAAATTTTCATCACTGAAAACTTCCGTCCTTTTGAAAGCATTGAAACGATTGCAACACATGGCGGTTTTTATCCCCATGATTTGTCATGTATGGGCTCTCCAGTGGTTCCACCAATCTGTTTGTCCACTACATTTGAGCAGAAGGAACCCGGTGTTGCTAGAGTAACAAAATTTTGTCATCTTGATTTCGAATTTTCTGCCTTCCCAGTACGACTACTCTAGAGCAGGGAACTTCTCTCGGGAGTGCCTGGAAAAGTGTATTGCTGAACTGGAATGCGGCGATCATTGCTCGACGTACAGTTCTGGATTGGCCTGCTTAGGAGCGATTGTTCAGTTGCTGTCGGCTGGGGATCATATAGTCGCTTTCGACGACATGTATGGAGGTGAGATTACATCACTCGATCCTTTTTACTCCATCAGAACAGCTTGATATACATCATTTGAAAAGTGTTAAAATTTCAAATTACCTCTATCAGTCGCGGGCGTAAAACATCCAACAGTTATAGGTGACGGTACGGCAGTGAAGCATTGGTGTTGAACACTGATGTCATGCTGTCGTTGATGATGATGATATAGGTGACGGGCGTAGCAACAACGAGTTGATTACATCGTACGACACCTCTCATTGAAGTAGGGATAGTTCGGGTTCACTTCTAGGGTTGTCGGACAGAATGGATCGATACCTACTGTGTGCACAATTTGGGTTGACGTTATCTTATCAACAGTGCTTCACAGAAAGCTAATACTTGCGTTTCGATTGCTTGACGTTATGCTGAAGGCATAGGCAGGGTCAGCTATGTGGCCTATTTCAGAGATTTTTTGCAACCGATGGTATCCGGTTCGGTGTGGCTGTTCGTGTTACTGCTGCTGTATCAACTGATACCATTATGCATTATTAGGTAGGCCAGGAGCAACATACACGCTTCAACAGGCATAGTCGGCCGATTGCGCTGGGGTTGTTTGATCGATTGATCGAAAACACGAAGGTCAGCCGACTCATCTACGGATATGGTGAATCCATGCACCTCTGATCGAAAATCGTAAAACTAGTTGCTATTACTTATAGTACGCAACTAAGACTGTTCTATCCTTGCATGATAACGTGCACCTACGTGTGCACCTTTCCTTGGATAACTACCTTAGGTGAACAAACCCAAAGTGAAGACGCGTTGACGTCAAAGCTATCGGTTATCTCCAAGTTTGGATAAATTCAATAAGTAGCAAAATTTTTTCACATCTCCCTTGACACTGTACTGCCCCGACCTAAAGCTGCCACCCTGGCGTGGTGGTCAGGCTTGAGTGCTGTAATGATCCCGCGGGTCACACTCCGTTCCACAAGGTGCGACCATGCCAGGAAGGCCAAAGGGGAGCAGCCAGACCGAGAGCAGCGAGACCCCGTACTACGAGTAATCGTGCTACGAGGCGGTCTGGAGGTAAAGTCGTAGTGTCTTCTGCGACAGGGGTGTGAAGGCAGTAAGGTGTTTCCCCTAGGCGACCAGCTTGTCCATATTTATGGAACCAGCGATGCTGCCTTCCTCCGAGGAAGGACGGGTTAGAAAAGGTTGGCCTCAAAAACCGCACACTCCGATCACCCAACGGTTAACCGTGACCGCCGGCGCATTAGCCAATACGATCGAAATACGTTTGAAACCGAACAGCCTGGTGCTACTTAAAGGATGCCTGCTGTGCGCAGTCACATCAGAAATGAGACAATAATGCCTTATTCCGTGCGCCCTCGGGTTAGGCCAACACCTTGCAGCCAAGCAGGTCATCGGCTCCGGGTAGGATCTCCAAAGAAAGCCCTACTGTCCGCTGTCTCGTGGGTCAGACTTTTGAGTCAGAAGCTATGGACTGGTCCCCCGAACAAAATCCCTTGTCCTCCCACTGCTTTGTGGGTCCGACTTTTGATTCAAAGGCTCAAGGTGAGGCACCTCAACCAAACCACCTTTTTCGGCCCAGGCAACCGGGAAGTATCATTTGCCCGCGCAGTTCAGCGTCCACCGATGTCCCTCCCCAACCCCTTCCCACCGCACAAGCGAAAGTCGCTGGGCCATTTGAATGTCAGTCATCTAACCGAAGGGCCTTATGGTCCTCACTGCCTACAAACAGTAAACAAAATAACACCTTCCTAAATCCACGAGATCCTTTCTATATAGGAGCTTTTAACGTCCGTACTCTATGTCAAATTGGCAAACAGGCAATGCTTGCTGAAACCTTGTACTCCCTTAAAATCGATGTATGCTGTGTCTCCGAAACACGCATACAAGACCCGAGCGTGGTTC